TCACTTGGTTGGCTGCCGCGAATCTCTTCTAATACGTAGTGGAATACTGCATTATCGCTGCCAAGCATGACATCAATCTGCTGTCGCCTGGAAACATTGTCGAAAGGGATCTTCTGCAGGTGAGGCCACTTTTCCTTGAGTTCTGACCACTGTATGGCTGGTGTGTCGCTCGCAATGTTATCTAACACATGTGCTTGGACAGGTGTCGTAAATGATATCTAGACTAGTCACATTTAGTTCCACTCGGCGGGATCTTTTCTGGATCTCGATGCCCCCTGTTCCTGCAATCGTAAGGTTTACGTTTTGTCCATGCAACTCAAGCTCTTCTGCTGCTTCCTCTGATACATAGGAACACAGGGAGCAGAGGAGTCGAGTTTATCTAGTAAAACAATACAAACGCCGTCTTACCTTGTTAATTGTAATATCTTTCATTGTAGAATCCCCATATGTGCATTAAAAATGCACATTTTACAATTTATAGCCTGTTGAAATTGTCGTGAAACCATATAAAATTTATAAACATTGTATGCCTTGTATGATTTTTTATTCGTACTTCATGTAACATGAACACCAAATGAATATACTCCGCTGTTCTAGATTATTGTGGGCTCACATTTCACTATGCTTAGTAAACAATAAGAAACGAAGGAAGGGAGGAAACAGTCATTGGGGTGATATTTTAAGATGGCTATAACTTGCTTAATATTTCATAAAAATACATAATTTTTTGTATGCAAGCTAGAAATTATCTATTCTTACTACACTAGGAAATAAATTTCAATAAACGGTCGTTTAACCTACATATTTGACGACCGATATTCATCGATTATTTTCGTACGATGTGCACCGCAACACCCTATGACGGAAGTGACGTATTGTTTCGTGTTTATGCATGATTGATTCAAATTTTTCGAATACTAATTACAACTGTCAAATGAAGTTCTGCTTCGTCATTGGTCAATGGCCGGTTTTATTCACTTCCGTCATAGGGTGTTGCGGTGCACATGCGACGAAAGATCTGCAATGTTTCCTCCCTTTCTTCGTTTCTTATTCGTTGATATCTCGGCCATTGTTCGTTAGCTTTTCGGAAAATACAAGTCTACGGTAATTCAAGGCAGCGGAGTATATTAACGTTGAAATTCATATTTTGGTTTTATATTCGATAATTTTGATGAATAAATATGCATTTTTAATGCGAACATTGGGATTCTACAATGAAATATACTACAATAGTACAATTAACAAGGTAAGACGGTGTTTGTCTTGTTTTACTAGATAAACTCGACTCCTCTGCTCCCTGTGTAGGAACTGGTCGAACAGGGGTCAAGCATTACATTGACCTTTAACTCTCTGTTTCCATTACTAATCAGGGCAGGTATTACCATTAAAGAGACGTTCTCTACTTTAGTTGTATTATGTGTTCTTTCTTGGGGCTGGAAATTGGTTGGTGGCAGATTGTCATCACGTGTCTTATCATTACGAGGAGCCTCTCTATTTTTGTTCGATTGTCCTGGGGGGACGTATGTCGGTGCATCATGTCGTAAGTGTCCTCCCACGTCGTCCTTGCGTTTTGGAGGGCTTACTGCTGTGGCCTTTACTCAGGCACCCATCAACACCACATTGTCTCGTTTTGGTACGATCTTTGCTTCGATGTCCAGCAGCCAGACAACAATAACAGCGTCCAGCCTTGGTAATTAATTCTTTTCTCTTTTGGACGGGTAGATCTTTGAAAGCTTTACAAACCCACGGGGGGTGATCCTCTTTACAGTTTGGAACAATACAACATCGCGTGGTGAATCTAGTATTGAAGCTTCGAAAGCGTTTCTTCTGTTCAACACGGTTGTCCGTCTTTTTTCCAATGCCATTCGTTTCTTCTTTCGCCTCTTCCATAACTTGCACTCGTAATTCAACCCATTCTTCAAGTGCTTCAAAATTGTCTTCACGCGAGTGGTCCATCAGCCAATATTTGTAAGCTTGCACGTCTTCTTCTGGTAGTTTCTCTTTAGCTGTTAAATTCAAGCTCTGTCCATGCAATGGTCCTGAATCCTGAGTGGCGATCAATACTCTTTCTAATAGAACTTGAAACTCCTCCATATCTTCCAGATTTCCAGGACGAATTTTCCGCAAATTGCGCAAAGCTGTTAGGTGTTTTATCTGTAAACGTCTCTCCCCTCCGTACTTCTTCTCCAATTTAGCCTTCGCTCTTTCATACGCATTAAGGGAATACCCAAGATCTTTCACCATGGTTAAAGCTTTACCCGACAAACAGCCGTGTAGTCTAAGCATTTTTTCTCCGACAGGAATATCACGACGATCGACAACAGACAGGAATGCTGCCTTCCAGGATTCATAGTCACTTTTTTCTTCGCCAGAGAAGATAGGGAGATCCACTCCTTTAAGTCTAATGGGAGAAAATGTCTGTCTTCGTTCTTTGTTTTCATTGGGTAGCTCTGAATGGTTTTCTAAGTGACGGTTAATAAGGAAGTTCTGTACTGTATCATTATCCGATACTTGCGATCTTCGTTCGGCTTCTTCAGCCCGGGATTTGTTGAGAGCAGCAACTTTCCTTGCATCATCGGTTCGCTGTTTTGTCAGCTGCAGCTCAGCGGTCAGCTTTTGGATCTCTAGCTCCTTTACTCGCTGTTCGTTTTCCATTTGGATTAGCCTTTCACTAGCCTCCTTTGCCTCTTTTTGTTTCTGTTCCACATTTGAGGATTTTTTCGACATAACTGGAGACTGGGGACTAGTTTCTTGTGATCGAAGTGAAGTTAACACTGAGTCAGTTTCTCCATTGCCAAGTCTTTCCTCGAGATGTTGTTCAGCCATTACAATTATTGAATCGACTGAAGACCCGATGTCTTCAAGTTCTTTGTCTAAAGTCTCGATAACTGTGTTGGTCTCCTCATTTTCAGCACTCACAGCATAAATCTCTTTTAAGCCAGAAATAATTTTTTCAATAATACTGATCTCGGAATTAACTTTATTAATAGCTCTTCTTATGGCATTTTTACTCGGCAATGGTACACCAGGAAGTTGTTTTTCAATTAGGTCGTTCAATTGTGTCTTAGCTTTTGTCAGCCTGGTTTTAGCCGATTTCTTACTACTTCGTAAAGTTTGAATCTTGGTACTCACTTGTTTGCTTTCTATATTCAATGTATTTTCTTCTTTTTTACTTTCGTGGTCGGCGAGATGAACGTTTTGAATACTGTTTACAGCTTCAACACCTTGGTCTGTCTCTTCTCCCGGCAAGTCTTGTTGTTGTCCACTCGTACTAAGCGCCATATTTGCTCGCACATTCACAACAAAAGTCGCAAATTTCTCGTTATTTTGTCAGCAGATCCGGCTGTCGAAGGACCAAACTTGTTCCCGATTAATTGAACTGTCTATAAAATGTCTATACGAGATAATTCGCCACTTTATTCCGAGTCTTTAAACACAAAAATAGCCTAAATATCGTCACACTTTTTGTAGTCGAAAAATATAAACTAGAACGTTCAAAAAACGTTTTGTCGCCCGCGCGACTATTTCAGCGGTCATGATAACAAGTACTTCATATAATAATAGCGTTCGTTAACAGGTACTTTTTACTTATGTACGTTTTGCCTCCAGTAATTTTTGCTCTTACTCAAGTCGTTTTATTGTTAATTACTTTAGGCACAACTGATGTTGAAAAACATTAGCAATTCAGTCGGTGTCACCATTTAGATAACCCCCCCCCCCAGCATTTTAAACAAATTCTCCGCAACTTTAGAATCAAAACTTTACGAATATTTTGTGTCGCTTTTGCTCCTTCGCTGCCTTAAAAATTCAAGTGACAGTAAAATCATGCGCGTGATGTCACTGAGTATGTGTTAGCAGAATTTCAAAGTTACTCTTTAAAGTAAAATTGTTTACTATATAATATCTTCTTTGTACGTTTGCATGGCGATAAAATATATAATAGTTTTGATTGTGGAAATACCACGTAAATTTATAGTGCAATTATTAAAACGATTGATAGTCATAAGTTCTCTCGCAAAATGAGAGAGTCAATTGAAATCGAGAAGCACAATACTGCAGATCGGGAGGGAAAGCCACTAGATAGTACGTGGCTTGCTCTCCTTAATGTGCGAAATTAACTTCTCTTGTCTTGGATGCACGCACATTAATTTGAATCACTTCACTACGTCACAGAATAAGAAGATACAGCAGAAGTGTAACTCAAGCAAGTATTTGTCTGCGTTTTTACAAGTGATTCGTCATCATTCACGACATCCTGACTAGTACAACCGGCACTTTGTACCTACCAAAACCTGATAAAAGCTTCCGGTTGTACTAGCCAGGATGGCGTGAGCGAGTTAAAATTTTCGTGGACGTAAAACAATAAGGGAACCGACTCGAGTTACACTTCTGCTGTATCTTCTTATTCTGTGACTACGCTTGAAATTACGTGGTTGATGTGCCGTTTAATTTAATTTCAAATGACGCGATCCAACAGATCACGAAACTTGTGTATATAAAAAGGGCGCGTGAATTGAACAACTCATATATTATTAGCACTGATGAATATCCAGCCGTACGGATCGAAAGCTTTGCAGTAATTTACGTGGTTTTTCCACAAACAAAACTATATGTAATATATCTTCTACTTATATAATAAAAGAATAGAAAAACTCGTCTCGCGCGTATATGGTGTGATAATGAACTCGGGGAATGTTGGGAGAATATTCGAGAAGCGTGTAAAACACTCGACTACGCCCCGTGTCTTACACGCTTCTCTCGTATTCTCCCAACATTCCCTCTTCCCTCGATATCTCCAGAGTCATGCCCATCAACTGACCTGCGAACATGCATACTCCGGGCATTAACAAACTTTCAACGTGCGCATATTTCTGTTGCTCGTATGTCGTGTAAGGGTTGATTTGCTGATCCAAATTTATTGATTTTTTTACAAAATATCAGGTTCTATAATTACCCGCGACAAAAGATTGCCCACCTCCGTGTACAATTATAAGACTTACCGCACTTTCGAGTGATAAAGCAAGCTGTAGCCAAGGAATACTGTTGATAATGAGAAGGTTTGGATCAAAAGTGCCGAGATTGGTGATAATTAAAATTCCTTGAAATTTTATAACATCTAAAAATAGAAGTAATATATGAACACAAAAGTAATTCAAATGATAATTTAATTGCAAATTTAAAACATTGCCTTGGATGGTTCAAAATTCTTGGCTTCGATGAAATGTCAATTTGACGAAAGTATACTTCACACGTTAAATATACTACTGTACACTGGGATAAAATTCGGACAAAAGAGGTGAGTTTGATGCACGTTTTGCAGCAAGGAAAACAAATGAAGCAATGTGTTCGTCACTAGCAAAACTTTTTGCAGTATCTATAAAGTTAGGAATTAAGACCGAAACTGTAGCCAGTGAGTTATAAAATAATATTATACCTCAAATTCAAATTGTCCAATCAGGAAGCTTAGTTTGTGCCACGGAGCATGAAATTAATCGCGATATCACGCCTTACGTCATCAATTAGCGCGCCTGCGTTCCTTTTGACAATGTTCCACCCCATGTTCCGGGAACATGGGCTGGAACATTATTCGCGTAGACCACGCGGGACAACACGCATGAGAACGAGATGGCCGACAAAAAATAAATAGTAAAAATGAGTGATGAATAATTCAATTTTAAACCTAAAACCCGGGGCTTTTTCAAACCCATCCTCGGTCCCAGGGCCTCACGGCTGACACTGCGTTGCCGGAGGCCCTGGCGAAAACCAAAACCGGAACTTCAAAAATCTTGTAGTTTGCCGGAAGTAAACGTAATAAAATGCTGACTCTGCATCTTTTTTTGCAAGGAGTGAACTTTGAGAATTTCTCGAAAGAAATAATGTTTTACATGCAAGATAAACATTAATTTGATCTGGTTATTTCACCATTAAATGTTTTAATGATTGACCAAATCAGTAAACTAAAGAATCATGTAAATGTTTCAATTATGAAAGCTGTTCAAGTTGATGAATCGAAGGATACAATGTGTAGTTTGGGAGAGTCATTGTATACGGACAGCAATCAATTGGAGAACATGAAAGTTCTTGAATTTTTATTACAATGGACGAAATATACAGACAATTTAAAAGCGATAGTTGTGGACGAAGCCCAATCTTGTTACTGAATGGTGAGTGAGTGATACTGATATATTTGGTTGTTTCTCAATATTCTTTCTTTGCTATATTAATGGTTATCTGCAAGACTGTACACATACAGACAACATATATTCTGTTTAATACGTCCGGTCTAAACGCTGCATTTTACATGTGCCAAGTCTAGAAAAGTTTGTTGAACCTTTTAAGTGCTACCAAATTATTTTACTCAGCTTAACATGCCAGATGATTGAGTGTACTGGTTAATGTGAGAGTGCTACTGCTCAATGGGTTAATCAGATTATCTATTGTACTTTACTATCTTACTGTCTAATGTCAGACAATTTTGCTCATCAATGGGAGAGTGGGTATAATTGCAAAGTAATTACTTTGCCACTTTGGACAAATGTATAAGTTACATATGTTTACTACGTACCGGTATGTACATAAATTCAACATTTAAATCAAAATGTCAAACTTTATTATTTGAGTCAAACTTTATTATTTGAATCAAACCATTTTTTGTTCACATTAGATTTGGCACATGTAAAATGCGGCATTTAGACAGAGACAATGAGCATAAAAACCTGAAATATTATCTGCATCCCACCTACCCCCCCCCTCCCCCTCACCCCTACCCCCACCTTAATCTTGGTATCCCCAGATAACGATTGTTTGTAGGATATACAACTACCTGTAAGGTATCATGTGTGACTGCATACTACAAGCTAGTATCATATTGTACAGTTTAATACATATATATGACTTGAAATATGTATTTTCTTGCCAGCCATTTTCAGTCATAAAATTATCCATGTTGCTGTTAAATTATGATTGGCCTAAAATTTTTGGCTAAAGATTGTTTTAATTTATAAACATTGTACTACTACTTTAGGAAGGATTTCAGGCCTTGCTATGAAAGGATTGGTATGTGGGAAGTTTGTTTCTTCATCAACTCAGAGAAAGAAGTTGCATCAACTCAGAGAAAGAAAGAAATTACATGAACAAAATAAACAATTTTGTGTCATTGATATAAATAATGATTTATTCTTACAATTTCCTTTATGAAAATTTGGTGTGTTAATAAAGATACTGTAAAAAATAAATAACAGCTTTATGGTGCATCCATGCTGTGTTTTAATTTGCAGTGGTGTAGGAAATGGAGGTGTGTGGGTACCAGTGTGCTTGTGTGTGGAGGCCGGATGCTCAGGAGTTCCCCGACAAGGAATATCAAGTCCCCGACAAGGAATATCAGGTTCCCCGACAAGGAATATTAGGTTCCCAACAGGGGGTTATAATCTTTCAAACAGTAAAATTATTGTTTTGTATGTTCAACTTATGCTCACACATGAAAATGTTGAATTTTTTGGCTCTCATGAAATGGTGCAGAATTTATTGTCTGTAACAGTGCATTTACCAGGACTACAAAACAAGGTCATTACAAAACATAATTTTTCCCAGTACATTCCACTTCCCTGATTGGGGAGGGGCTAGAATTTACACATAGGGGAGCTACAGCCCCCCCTCCCCCCCATACCCGATCCCTGCACTGCCTCTGCCATGCCCAATTTCTCTTCAAAAGTTTACAAATTATAAATTTGGTGCTGTTGATATGAAGTGCTCCTCAATTTTAAATTTCAAAACTTTCCTCCTGTGCCTATGGTGACTAATTAAACCTTGAAATCTAGCACTATAATTTATAAAAATTATGTCAACTGCATGTAAGAGATTCAGAAGTTAGCTTCCCAGTTAGTTTTCCAGTTTCATTAGTTAATACTGAATGTATGTATACAGCATAAAATTGGGAGGCTCATCACCAGTGTAGCAAAGTTGCAGTATTACTATTAACAATATAATTTGTCAACTGTAAAAAACATTGATAGCCTATAAATTAAGCTATATATTGCATGAAATTTAAGGCAAAACAAGGTGGAAGAACTAACATTTCCAGCTATTATATTAATCACTTTGTCATTATTAAATAGTATTAAAATACAATATGTCATTATTAAATACATTTAATATAAAATACAATATTTTTACATAAATTAAGAGCCTTTGATGAAATTGATATAAAATCAACAAAGTATGTCTATTAAATATAGTATATTATAAAATAATTTATATTTTATAATATACTATATTTAATATAATATTATGTATGGCATGGACCCCTCTTGCTTTAAAAACCACACAGACACTCATTCACGATTTTCTCATTTGTAATTGAAAGATGCAAGACATCACTCACAATTTTTGTAGATTTGTACAATTAACGGTACAGTCTTTCTCGCATAGCCTTTCGCCTGTCTTTGTTTATACTCTGTATATAATTAAATCCCGTATATAAAACTATAAAATGTCCCTTCGGCTTCGGCGATTTCAATCTTTAAATAATCCAATGTACAATTTTGTGCAGCTTTTTAATACATTGTGACACAACATCCAACATTTTTTTATATTAAAAATAAAATTTCCATTGATAGACAGCAGATTTCAACAACCAAAACGACTCTTCGTCTTCTTTGAAGAGTTAATACACTCCTATCTATTCATATTGTCAGCCATATTTATTAGTAAAAGTTCGTGTTCAATTTCCGCATTCCATTGTTTTCATGCGACCAATCAAATCACTTTTCGTTTTGGTTTTCGCCAGGGCCTCCGGCAACGCAGTGTCAGCCGTGAGGCCCTGGGACCGAGGATGTTTCAAACCTAAAACCTGGGGCTTTGTCATTAATATTCCAAACGATATGTGATTCGAAAGAAAAGCGACGATACTTGCGTTAATCCGAAAATAAAACATCGTATTCACGAAGGTATGTGTCAAGTTTTTAATTCTCAACTTGGAGGCTTTTAAATTTCGGTATAATATATCATTTATAGACCCTCCGCTCGGGGTATTCGGCGAAATATTATCCTCAGTGATGATATTTCCCTCGGGGCAAAGCCCCTCGGGAAATATCATCACTTCGGGTAATATTTCGCCGAATCCCCCTCGCTCCAGGTCTATAAATGATAATAGTTGAACCCCAAGCATTTTTGGTATCCTAGAAGTGCGTCCACGTAAAAACGATATCTGTTAAATAGTTGTTATAATAATGGTGTTTTATTAACATTGGCACATGGGGTTTGTGACCGCTTAAAAAATTGACAAGCTATGCGTACATGTATCTATCCAAAGCTTTGAACTGGCTCAAAGTAATTCGCACGGTTGCTATAAAAAAACTGCAGTTGTAGTTGTTTCTATTAACCGTATTCGTTATGATCCATGTCAGAAAGAACGATCAAAATCAATGTAAAACTTATTGGTAGATTACAGTATATTCTTTAAATCAGCAACTGTTCGGTGTCCAAAAGTTGAAGTATATAATCATATGGCATTAGACAAAGCAGAATAGTAAACAGAAAAGAGCACATGGCGGCTTAATAATGACTGTATTTTATGCAGCAGGTAAGTCATTTTGTTGTCAGGAAAGGGTAAGCATATAATAAATTCCTTATTAATATTACTTCATTTGCCTGGTCTGTACGAGAAAGCTAGTATTTATCCACAGACCTCGCTTGCTTCTTCGTCGCTGGGTGTGTTCGAAAAACGAAATTGGCTTAGATTTTTTGTTACATGAACAGTTTCACCGTTTTGTTTTAATGTCAACAAGGTTCTTTAAAACAATGGCAATGTCAATAAAAATGAGTAATGAAAAATAGGTACGTATGTGTACATTTATCTGCAGTAAATTGCATTTTTGGGGGTATTCCAAAATTCCGTGAATTATTTAAGTACATTGTATTTGCATGGGGAATCCTCCTAGCTCTGGTGACGCACTTAATATAATACAACTTTTATTCTTCAGTGACCACAAAGTTTAATTAACAAAAGTTATGATTATAAGCAGAAATTTATGATCAACAAAATGATGAATACTCTAATTTAAACTTTCATGGGAGCATGCTCTGTACCCACTAGAAAGTACCCACCTTTGGCATGCATTGTCTTGTACTTTTAAAGCTTTTATTCCCCTCCACTTTGCATGCTCGACCAGCGCATTTCACTTTCAGCTATGTAATGCACTAAGACTATTTCTTATTTTCAATTTCAAATACTAGTTTTCAAGTTTGAGTTCATATGTTGTTACTTTCCAGCATAATGGTTAATACCACAATCCTGGCCAAAAGACTGATTAATATACGATCGATCACGGTGGAATCGATGTGGATCACAACATTTCAATGTTTTTCAAATCATATACAAACGTTTAGACAAAAATAACAATCTCTCACCTTGTCACAGTACATTTTCATTGTATTGTTGTTTGCGAAACAGATGTTAATAGCGATGTACTATTAATTGACGTACACATGAAATGTACCATAGAGGCCGCCATTTTGTTTTTATTTTAGGCTGCCTGTTCGCAGACATGTATTTAAGGCGGAGTTTGTTTACACCTGAGTGTTTAACCCACAAACTGAAACAATAGCAATGTATCTATGCTTCGCATATATACAAAAAGGTGTCCACTTGAGAAAGGCCTGCGTAAGTCTTTGCATTGTGATATTTATCCAACTTCTCGGGGGATAAATAGCTTAATCTCAATAGGGTCAGCTTGCCAGGGAATTCAGTAACCTTTTACTCTAAAATCGAGACTACTTGTGCCTCATACTTATTAAAAAATAAAAGTAATTAAATCGTGTTCTTACTTATGCATTGTCCGGACTCAATAATCATTTGTGCAGGACTGTTACAGTAACAGCGATATGTTCCAGGATAGTTAACACAACGTTGACCAGAACCACAGCGAGTTGAAGATGAACACTCATTCACGTCAGCTACAAAATATAGTACATTACAGTGAACGTGACAGAACATATCGTTTAAGATTTGTAAAACAAGATACACATCCAACAGAGCCAAGGATGGCTCTGGGTAGGAGATTGATTACACAGTAAACTAGAAAATACATGCATGATCGAAGAAACCCTCGCCTTGCTAACAAAACCATTGTATTTTCCGAACGTGAAGTATTTAAAGTAGTTGTCATGGTAACACGATAATTTTTTAAGAATATTTTTACAAATGTAAAATCCCCTAAACTGAATATCACTTTTAATTACAAAATTATCAATTTCCCAAACATATGTATGTTAGGTATGTTATTATACGTAATAATTATAAGCTTCAATTTAAGGTAAAATTCAACCACAAACGCTTCGCAAAACGTTTTAAAGTGTTCTTTTAATATAGAATTCGCTGAAAAGTTAACTGCCTTTATCGATAAACCTTGAGTTCGAAATAAAATGATTCCAAATTCTCCCATGCAAATAACTTTGCTTTGTATAATAAGAAGGGTAATCAATAAAGAAACACTGAAATATTACGCTGTCTTGTTTCATATTTATACGCAAACAATCGGCTTTTAAAGTAATTACAGTATATTGAAAGCAAACAATGCATCAATATTTAAAACAAACTTACCTTCGTTAACGTTGGCACCTTTACTCCCTTCTTTTAGCAATTGAGATCAGTGAGGATGGCCACCCACCGAAACACGCACAGTGACCCAAGCCCGCGATTATTGATGAACTTTAGACTTCGCTAATAGTTTCGTTTCCCCAGGTGTAAATAGCCGGGGGGAATTAGTACCCTCGCACGGCGCTTCGCGCCGTTGGCTCGGGGATTATTTCAGCCCGCAAAAACATTCAAGGAAATACTTTAATTTGTAAGTTTCATTTCCAATTTTCCTCGAAATCGAACCAAAATTAAATCCATCAGCCCCACGAATTTTCGTATCAAACTGAGCGAGTACTATGCAAGTATATAAATAGGCACACAAAAAACAAAACGAGGGGAAAAATTACTTCCTGGCGAAGGTAATTAAGACAGGAGTAAGATGATCTTTGCAAAAAAAAGACATTCTTCTTCCAAATCTTGCAGAGTTTTCTGCACCATTGATCAATAGGAGCACCCGAATCCAGCATTCTTTCGAGATTGACCTAACTATTGTAACTATATGCTATTCTCTCTATGCACTTACCGACATTTGCAGCTGGAGTTGGCTGATTATTTCTCGACAGAACATATTTATTCCTCAATATCAACTTTTGAATCCCGCCTTCTGTAGAAGATACTAATCCAGCACGAAATTGTCTTCCAAGGTTGTCATTATTGATATCAACTTGTGTTAACGTGGGCAGGAAGTAGATATATAATGAAACCATTGTTGCTGAATTCGTCCCGGTTCCACGACTGTAATTAAAATGATAAAAATTTAAAATTTTAATCCATAAAAATTAAAATCCATATCATTAATTTTCTGTGTTGGTGTAACGTACTCAGGTGAATATGATGCTTGCGATGTCACTCTGCGGAGTGTATATCCACAGCGGGCAAGCTCGATAAATATGCCTGACCACGGTGAGAATCGAACCTACGACCTTTGGAATGTTAGCCCAATGCTCTTCCAACTGAGCTACACGGTCAGGTCGGGTCGAGTATGTGATATTTCGGAACAAAACTGGTTCCTCCGATATCAATGTAATCTAGTAATCATGATATATTCTGTGTTGGTGTAATGTACTCAGGTGAATATGATGCTTGTGATGTTACTCTGAGTGTATATCCACACCGCGCAAGCTTGAAGAATATGCCTGACCACGGTGGGAATCGAACCTACGACCTTTGGAATACTTGCCCAATGCTCTGCCAAATGAGCTACGTGGTCAGGTCGGTTTGAGCATATGATATTTCGGAACAGAATCTGGTTCCTCCGATATCAATGTATTCTAGTAATACACCGGGCAAGCTTGAAGAATAAATGCCTGACCACGGTGGGAATCGAACCTACGTCCTTTGGAATACTAGCCAAATTCTCTGCCAACCGAGCTACGCGGTAAGGTCGGTTCGAGTCCGTGGCTAAAAAGTATACTGAAATCTGGTATGTGATATTTCAGAACACAAGTTCCTTCGATATCTATAGTTCCTTCGATATCAGTGTAATCTAGTAATCATGATTTCTTTCTGTGTTGGTGTTCTGTACTCAGGTGAATATGCAACCTCGTTCCCAGGATATTTAGGAAATACCCTGGTATGGGCTGGTCACGTGCCTCCTCCAAAGTTTAGCGCCCGAGGGTGTGTGGGAAAAGTATCAAATTACATGATTCCAGTGGAGATATTTTGTTTAACAGTTAAAAACATTATTAAGTTCAAAATACTTGCTAATTTTTGTTTATTTTCTTTGCTTTGAATTTACAAGAACATTCTTACATTTTTACCAACAGTCAAGTCAAGAAACCAAGCAAATCGTTACTCACAGTGCTCTCTCGTGTTGTTATTCAATGCCGTCTCTTCACACTCGAGCGCGGTTTTATAACAAACGTTTATTATTATGAGCTTTTCAGTCATCATTTCTACATATGTAATGTTTTTAAAATACGCCATTAGACTTGTCCTGTCTTGTAAATGTTTATATGCTTTGCACCGATTTAATTACTTGTTACTATACGTCTACGCGTCTTGTTTATAAGATTGAAAGAAACAGTATTGTATTGTCTGGGACTAGAGCCCAATATTAGCAAATGTAAACATTTGATACTAGCCAAACAGAGAAAGTTTGTCAGTGATTATAAAATTTTGGATTTAGTACATAGTATTCGGTGATTATAGTCAGGCTTTAGCCTTTTTTTTGGTCTTTATTAATCATAATATTTTCCTAATATACTAAATCTATATATTGTAAATTTACAATGTCAGACGCGCACAGACTGTCATACGAATAAACATAAATTTTCGAGTTTTCTACTTCTACTAACATTTTTAAAGTTTTCATTGTGAATCATCTGTTTATTTCTAGTTCATTAGTCATTAATATGCTCTACTGAAAAACAAGGCTCTCAAATATATTTGTATATTTATTTGATAGTGTCATAGTGATATATATGCATTTACAAGCAATCCTGGATATGATAAAGACGATACAAACTGTCCATTAAAAAATAACGGGATTCTATTCCACAAAGAAAAATATTTAAATCTCACTTGTATTATTAAGAATATATATAAAGCAAAAAATTTAAACTTGTGTGAGTTGTGTCAAAACGAAAGCTGTTTATAAAATTTATAAATGTTGTAAACACTATTACTAATATAAAGTGCCCATTGAAAGACATAATATAGTATATTGTCGTTTGACTTATCTTTGATGTATGATTTTAATACTGTAGCTTTAACATATACCATGATTGTTGAGTTTCAGCAATGCCAAGGGCCAATGCAGGAAGTTTTATAAGCTTTTATAGTCAACAATCTGGATACAGTTGGCGTCTTGGCGATATTTCGGAAATCAAAAGATCTCGCTATTTCGTTGCAGTTCCATGCCACATCTCATCAATAAATAAATTCTTTTGGTTCGAGTATCTAGATATACTTTCATAACAACTAAATAAATGAATAACCACATTGTTCCGTCTAGATATATACATTTTCTTGCGACTGCTTTATATTGCCACGCCGTCCACGCGTGCTTTCTCAGTGACAAGTCTATAAGTTGAAATCTGATCCAATTTGCTTGAATTGTAACTCGACACTAGATTGTAGAGTAGAAAGTCACATCACGATAAATATTAATTTTTAATTGCAGTTCTTTTCACGAATAATCACGATTTCTTTGAAGATTCAATGGTTATTGTTTATATTCATAGAGCGATCTAATTAATTGTCACAATATATACTCACTCTCCCGACCCTAGTAAACAATACGCCATTTTACGCAAAATCCGCGGGTCATGTGACCAGCCCATACCAGGGTATTTCGCTTCCCAAGAGCAAATACTCTGGGTACGAGGTTGGTGAATATGATGTTTGTGATGTTACTCTGAGTGTATATCCACACTGGCCGAGCTTGAAAAATATGCCTGGCCACGGTGGAATCGAACCTGCGATCTTTGGCATACTAGCCCAATGCTCTCCCAACTGAGCTACGCGGTTAGGATTGTCCGAGTAAGTGATATTTCTGACCTGAATCTAGTTCCTTCGATACCAATGTGACTTAGTAATCATGAGTTAGCAGAGCATTGGGCTAGTACTCCAAAGGTCGTTGGTTCGATTCCCATCGTGGTCAGGCATATTTTTAAAGCTTACCCGATGTGAATATACACTCAGGGTAACATCACAAGCATCATATTCAACTGAGTACGTTACACCAACACAGAAAAAGTCATGATTACTAGATTACATTGATATCGAAGAACTAGATTCTGTTCGGAAATATCACATACTCGGACCGACCTGACCGCGTAGCTCAGTTGCCAGAGCATTGGACTAGTATTCCAAAGGTCGTAGGTTCGATTCTCACCTTGGTCAGGCAAATTTTTCAAGCTTGTCCGGTGTGGATATACGCTCAGAGTAACAATTCACAAGTATCAAAATCCATATCGTCATTTTAGTTTTCGTTTTATCTGAAAAAATATTTGGCGTTTGCATAGTTTAATGCATTAAAATCCTTGAAATAAGGAAAGAAAGCTATTTTTGAGGTTTGTCAAAATAATACTATATAAAATGGTTTGACAAGCTGTATAATCCTTTTCAGCAATTGAACTAAAATGCTGCCGAAAAATACTCTGCTGGATTATATGTCGAACCATTCAATAATGTATCTGTATTTGTTATTGGTAAATTAATTTATTATTAAGGTTTATGCCGCTTCTGCAATTGTAAGTGTGAATTTTCTGTTAGTATTTTTACGAACGTATCCTAAGCTAAACAGTCATTCGCAAATAATGTTTTTTATAAGTAATAACATGGTATGAGGTTCATCACTAATTTCCCTCATGCATGTCTTGCTATTAGTTAATGTAAAACTCATATGAGAACAAAGACATTTTGAATGCATGTGTGTAGTCTGTATAAATGGGATGTAGATTTTTGGTATGTTCGGATATGGATACAAATGCCGGCAATTTACTAAATCGCCCGGTCGAGCAAGCGAATTAGTAAATTGCCCTCAGAGAGAATTTAGACATTTTAATGCCCGCTTGGAACAATAGAACCCGAGGTGACCATGGTATTACTATATATTATTATTATTATTATTACATGTTTTTCACAGCTTTGTTCTTATGCTGGCTATGTTTTTCCTTGGAAGCTGGCTACAACCAGTAGCCTCTGGTCCCAAAGGCTTTTAGCTTTCCAAACGTCTTCCCAGTATTCTTGCTGTCCCTAACAATGCTGTTTTTTGTAGTAGTTATATTATTATTTATTATTATTATTATTTAAATTTATTTAAACACGGTAACCTATCAGTTTCCTGGTTTTCATAGGGCCGTCCATCTATTTACAAAAGTATACTATCTTCAGACTAAAAACTAATTAATATCGTAATAACAAAATAGCATGCAATAATTGTTTTAAATCACATATATCTATAATAGTGACATAAATCATGCAAACACTCAACAATCTATGACTTAACATATCCATTAATAGTACTTTTGAATGAGTCAATAGAGAGTTGATTGTAGTTATCCCTTATTTGCATAGGTAGTTTATTCCATGATGATGATCCACGATAAGAGAAACTATTTTTCATAAAATTCGTCTTAGGTTTTTTTAAACAGAGATTTCTGTTATTACTTCGAAGGCTATAATCATTGTTGAAAGTAGCGGTGAAAAGGTTAGATAAATACTCTGGTGCGAAACTTCTAATCGCTTTAAAAGTCATCACAAGTTCGAGTTTTTTCAGAGTGGTTTCTAGTGGTTCCCAATTAAGTTTCTTAAAAATGTCAGCGGAACGTATCTCATAATTAGAACCTGTTATCACGCGAGCTGCTCTTTTTTGCAGTTTAACAAGCATGTTCATATTTGTATTATTTCCATCATGCCATACATTGGAACAATAAGTTAAATGGGGGTAAAATTAGCGCGTTATACATTGTCAAAAGTGTTTGTTCTGTTGTAAAGTTTTTCGTCCTCCTTAGGAGGGCTATATTTTTAGAAATTTTCTTACATTATGCATCGATATGATCTTTCCGTTTCAATTCTTTATCAGTTTTTACACCCAAGACTTTTTTGTCCTGAACTCGTTCCACACTATGATTTCCAACGACTATGTTCGGATTACGAGATAGGTTATTTAATTTCTGGCGTGATCCAATAATCTATAATTTCTGGCGTGATTCAATAATGTATTCAGTTTTCTCTTTGTTTAATGTAAGTTTGTTACATG